CTGACATTTACCGTAGGGTTTACAGTCGCAAATCACTTATCATTCAAAACTAAAAATACTTTAATATGAGAATGAAGTTCTCTTTGTGTTGAATTAAAGAGAAGGGATTGAGTGTAGTCTTTTTCCTCTCCGAGTGTCAGGATACTCACTGTAGCGTGTGTGGTCTTGACGCTTGTCTTTCAATACGAAGATACTATGTTCGCCACACCATTTTAATAACAAAAACTTTGAGATAAAGAATTGAGTACTACCCGTAGGAGTTACTATCTGAGGACTTATCTCACCCCTAAAAACAATTCAACCAATCAAACGTGACATCTTGCCTCGCATGGCGAAAATTAATCAATCTTTCAAAAAGGATATGTTATGTACGTTCTACCGCAAATAGGTAACACATAAGTCTCCTCACATGCAAGCAGCAAAATACCTAAACTGCTAGAATGCGCACGATAGCATCATCCATAAAAATATCAACAAACCGTAGGCTGAGTTACGACTGCTCTGATTCTTTACTTCTTTTAAGTAAAGATACGTAGGCACAAGGGCCACAATCCTTGCCGAGCATATTCCCCCTATATCTGTAGCCCCGAACTACGTCGACTCTGACTTTTTCACATCTATTGAGAATACATAGGCATAGAACCACAAAGTCCTACCGAGTCTGTTCTTTCTCTCTTCTTCCCCGTTGCCTCCTTTCTTAGTTTCTAAACCCTCCTTCTTTACCCTTTGGAAAACACTTTTATAGCATAATATTTAAGCAGATATAATCACACATTGACAAGCAAATGATTCCCATCGAGTACGATGAATGCGAGGGGTGCTAATACCTTCCCCTCGCATAACCGGCTTCCGAACCCGTTCTTGGTCGCGGGACCATCTTATCCATTTCTTTCTTAAGGTTTTCTCGATATTTTCCTTTCCCCTCATGGGATAAATAAAGTTCGGTGGCGACTCTTTTGTCTATCCTTTTCGCCTCCCCGTCGTTGCGCGATGCATTTTTCGAGTAGCGACAACTCTGTTTGGGGAAAACCAAGAAAGAGGGGAATACTTTAAATTGCCGGAATCTGGATGTTCAACGAACAAAATGAATCAATGAAATCTGTCGGATACTAGATGCTTAACATAATAGCCGGATCCTGGACGCTCAACGTAAAAGCCGGAGCCTGAATACTCAACATAACAACCGGAGCCTGGACGCTCAACAAAAACGAAACCGGAGCCTGAATGCTCAACGAAAATAGTTGGAGCCTGAATGCTCAATGCAAAATTGACCGGAGCCTGGATACTCAACGAACCAAAAGTGTACATCAGAAGAAATTATCGGAGCCTGGATACTCAACGAAACTGGAATCACGGAAAATTTGTCGGAGTCTGGATACTCAACGCACAGGAGAAGTTACCACATATTGGAACTCGGCCGGAGTCTGGATACTCAACGTAATAAATCGGAGCCTGAACGCTCAACGAAAATAAACCGGAGCCTGGATGCTCAACAAAATTGACCGGAGCCTGGATACTCAACGGAGGAGACGGAGCCTGGATGCTCAACGAAACTGACCGGAGCCTGGATACTCAACGGACAAAACAATATACCACAAATCAGAAATTCACCGGAATCTGGATATTCAACGGAGAAGGAGTACTACCACAAAACTTACCAAGGTCTGGATACCCAGCTGACTTTACCGGAGTCTGGACACTCAACAGAAAAAGAAATGCTTCACAAATGGAATATTCACCAGAGTCTGGATACTCAACGAAGAAGCCGGAGCCTGAGTGCTCAACGAAATTTGACCGGAGCCTGGATACTCAACAGACAAAGAAAATATCACAAATATACTGATTAAAAACTGAACACCACACTGCCCTCACCGAAGTCTGGATACTCAACGGAAAAACACAATAATATCAATCACCATGGTCTGGATACCACAACCATCTTTATCGAAGTTTGGATACTCGAGGAAAAAAGGAAAACTCCATCAACTGAGAATGGACCGGAGTCTGGATACTCAACGGACTAACGAATTCATCATAAATGCTTATCATGATTCACTGAGATCCGAAGATACTGCTGGGGAATAACATGAACCGGGGTCTAGATACCACGCGGGCTAAGAGAAATTACATGGTCTGGATACCAAGGGAGAAGATCAAACCTCCGACGATACACCTGAAACAAAGAGATAACAACCTGGCTTATGTTTCACATGCATATGTTTGAAAATGGCGTAATGCTCCATACGAAATGGAAATGCTACGCATTTGGGTAGATGCTATGCACACATGCAGATGCAACGGAACTGAACCAGCAAAATAAATGCTAGAGATACAGAGAACACCCTGCTGGGGCAAGAAAAGTAACCCTGTTGAGAGAATCAACGATTCTGTCGGAGATAGAGCACAAACTTGCTCATGCTAATAACAAATGGACTTATGCCGAGAAACGGGCCCTTACTGGCCTCTGGGGGATTTCTCCGCCGGGGAACGAACCTAACCAGGCTGCAAATTACTCCGTGGGAAGAAAATACAATCATAACTCACTGAGGATAGAAGTACGAACTTCACTGACTGGGGAAGTAGATTCAGGCTGGGAATAGGACGAAATTCATCCATACCTTTTTGCCCCAAGGGTAACGACCCTGCAACACTGAACAAACAGACAAGGTATCATACGCAATCGGAACCATTTTAGTCATCATTCATGACGTTGTTCAATTAATTCAAAGTTTTAACAATTATTGGCCAAGGCCTGCAAGTTTATGTAAGTGCAAGTTTATCAAAATATTGGGCATTTTCACAAACAAAAACAGTAAAAGTTAAAACAAAGCACACAGATCAAGTACTGAATAGTATATGTTTATTGATAAATGGTCTGTAAATAGGCAAAGTTTTACAACAGATGTAACTCCTGAAAAGAGGAAGCTGCGCAAAAACAAATACAAATATGCACAGAAATATACAAAAGTGTACAAAATGTCGGCAACGTGGCACAAACAAACACCATGAGCTGATCCCTCTATGACTCGCTTGACTCTAATGCTTTCTCGACGCTTCGTCTTCAGAAGAGATTGATTCGGATAAACAGCCCTCAGGTTCTCCCAATCCACTAAGCAATGAAGTTCCAACACAGTCTGCAGTCATTTATTTTTTCAATCCCTAACTTTTGCCTGAACCGCCCTTTCGGGTTTTCGATTCACTGGGATACCCATCTTTGCCAAAGTCGCCTTTTCAGGTTTTCGACTTTGCGGGTTTACATCTTTTCATTTTTATCCCTAATTTTTGCCCGAACCTATTTTCCTTTTTTATGGTTCGCCGGGATGCCCCATTTTTGCCTAGACTTTTCTTTTTGTGTCCAACGGGTCTCTTTTAAGCAAAATACTTTTTAACTGCGTATGCGTTCACAGGGGATGTGAAATCTTCACCATCCATGGTGGCTAACAACAAGGCTCATCCGGAGAAGACCTTTCGAACGACATATGGACCTTCCTAATTGGGAGTCCATTTGCCCCTGTGATCTGATTGTGGTGGGAGAATCTTTTTCAACACAAGATCGTCCGTCTGAAAGCTTCGAGGACGCACCTTCTTGTCGTAAGCTTTCTTCATCCGGCTCTGATACAACCGACCATATGCAATTCTTTTATTGGTTTGTTATAAGTTTATTATTAACTTTGTTGTGTTGAACTTCATTTGTGCTTGCTTGTTACTTGACTCTTTTCTATATTATTTTTGCATCAATGTTTCACTATAGTTACATGTGGGTGCAGTGCAACAATTTGATTATGTTTTATTTTTTTTCTTGAGTTCAGTAATGCTAGTGATGCTTTGGAAAAGTTGAGGTTTTTAAGTGTAACATAGCCTTCTTTGCTTGGAGAGGCTAGAGAACTAGAGATTCACATCATGTTTCGTTTTTCCAAGGAGTAGGTTGAAGAAGCATCATCATATTTGTAGTTGAAAGGGATCATCATATTTGTAGTAAAAAGTGATTGAAGAAATTTTGTAAAAAGGTTGAAGAAATTTATAAGAAATTTTGCAGCCAGGTAGAAACAGCTTGAGGAAGCGAGGAGACTTGCTTTGCTGCAAAAGAAAAGAGAATTGAAGACGGCCGGAATTGATATTAGGCACATGAGAAGGAAAATGATAGGATTAATGTAATTAAATTTAAGATTATGTGCAACTTTGAAGGAATAGATTATGGTTTAATGTAATAAGATTTAAATTATCTTGATATCAAAAGTTTTATTAATCTAAAATGCTATGAAATTGTTACAAATGCTATGCATACGTAGTTTGATTGTATTTCCTAATTTGTTTTGATTAACTTTCCTAATTTGCTCCATTAAATAATTATAAGGTTTCAATTTGATATTTTGCTGAATCATTACACAGTTAGCACACCACGTTTTTTAACGGAAGAACCAACGTTGCTAAGAAAACTAATATTACGAGACTAAACTGTAACTATTTTTTTATTAAGAGATTAATGCTGGACTTAAAATTAATTAATCTTATGAGATTTGAGAAATAATTATGTCATTTTTTTTATAAATAGAATTTAAAATAATTTTATTTTTTATTAAAAAATGTAACTTAGTGGGGCCAATATTATTTTTTATTAAGAAGTGTACCTTAGTGGGTCCAATATCCCTATAACCTTATAGACTCTCTCCACGTTTTCTATAAAGTGCACGTCTTCACTTTTAGGACGAAACCATGGAGTTACGAATACAGTGTTTGATGACTGGTAGTTGCACTTTGCATTCTCAAAACTAACATCATCATAAAAATGCATGACAGCTCAAATTTGCCGTTTGAATACAGATAGACAAAAACCTGACGCAGAATGTAAATATAGTGAAAGAGATAAAGAAACAAACTAACCCCAACTTTTTTTTTTCATCATCTTCATAATTAATCCCATTTTCTGTCATATTATTAATCACATTAATTCTACAAATTGCTCTGTATTTTCGTTTTCAGTCACATTGAGTTTCTTTGTTATGGCTATGGAACCTTCATCCAGTTCTGGACAATCCAAGAATATTTCCAGGAAACCCAAATGTAATCACTTCTTCCCTCTAATCTTAGTATTTGTATATTTAATTTCAATTTAGGGTTTTTAAATTGGGGAAAAGGGTAAATTCTTACTAATGTAAAACCCTAAATTTCTACCAAATTATAGATTTAGTTCTACAAAACCCTATAATGAGTTAGCTTCTGGATTTGAATTAGGTTTAAATTCAACTGATTGATATTTTTCTCTCTATTTTAACTATGTGTTCTCATGTTTTTTTATTGATGATAGATTCTAGATTCTCTCAGCAAGAACTTCCTGCATGGCAACCAATTCTAACACCTGGATGGGTATATCTTCACACATAACATCATGGTTTAGTTTAGTTTTACAACAAAATCATACATTGCTATATAACATTATTAATCTTTGTCTCTCAAGTCTAATCTATGAAGCACGGACACCAGAAACATCATATTGACATTGACACGATGACACCAATAATAATTTGAAAAAATAAATTAATTAAACGTAATCACAAGTGTCTTTGTCAGTTTCAGACACGGACACAGAAGTGTCGGTGCTACTAAGGGTCTAATTGTTTTCTTTCTCTAAGCCTCTAATTCAGTTATCTGTCTTTTTCTCTTCAGGTCATTTCAATATTTACATTTATAGGACTCATTTTCATTCCTATTGGGGTTGCTTCATTGTTTGCGTCAGAACGAGTAAGTTTTCAATCTATTTATACATAATATCAAATTGAATCAGACTAGTGAACAAACTGATTGTATATTGAAATTGAACAAAACATTGTGATGCAGGTGGTTGAAGTTCCTTTCCGATACGATGATCAGTGTCTTCCGTCTTTATATAGTCACGATGCAATGGCGTATATAAAAGATGATAGGATTAACAAAACTTGCGCTGTGAAGTTCACTGTTAGTACAGTTGCTTTGATTTATATGATAATTGTTTAAGCTGCAACTCTTGTGAAGTAATTTCTGCAAAATTTTGCAGGTTAAGAATAGAATGAAAGCTCCAATCTATGTATATTATCAGCTTGGTAACTTTTACCAGAACCATCGCCGGTAAGTGTAATTAAAGAAAATATGTTGTGAAAGAATCACATGTTTGTTACAAATCCTTTTAAAATTGAGAATCTGAAAAAATAATCCAATAGCTGTTTTAAATAAGAAGCTATTTTGAGTAGCTTATCTGCAAAATCATTTTTTATAACTGAAAGAGTGATTTTCAGTATAGTAGACAAACACAAAAGAACTTATCTTTCTTTAGAAAGTTAATCTCTAAATTGTTGAATCAAAATCACTTTTTTTTCTAATCCGTAACAAACGGGCCTTAATTGTTCTGGATTTTGGATGAAATTTGGTTGCAGATATGTTAAAAATAGAGATGATAAACAACTGAGGAGTAAGGCAGATGCGAATGAAGTTAGCTCATGCCATCCTGAAGCCTATACTCCAAGTGGTCAGCCAATTGTTCCGTGTGGCCTTATTGCGTGGAGTTTGTTTAATGACACATACAGAATTTCAAATAATAACAAGGACTTAGTGATCAACAAAAAGAACATAGCGTGGAAAAGTGACCAAAAGGCCAAATTCGGGTCTGATGTTTATCCTAGGAATTTTCAGTCTGGAGGTTTGATTGGGGGTGCTAGACTTAATGAGAGCATACCTGTAAGTAATTATTTACATATCTTCATTGCTTTATAATTCTTGTCGGGTTAAATATGTTTATGTTCTGTTTTTCTGACAAAATTCCTCGAGAAAGTTAATATTTGTGTTGATGTGGTGAATGAAACAGTTGAGTGAACAAGAAGATCTGATTGTTTGGATGAGAACGGCAGCACTGCCTACATTCAGAAAATTATACGGGAAGATTGAAGTTGACCTTGAAGTTAACGATGAAATAACGATAGTAATTAAGAACAACTATAATACGTATGAGTTTGGAGGAAGGAAGAGTGTGGTTCTGTCAACCACAACATGGATTGGTGGAAAAAATGACTTCTTGGGGATTGCATATATTATCATTGGTGGCCTTTCCTGGTTGTACTCTCTAGTTTTCCTAATTATGTATATGATGAAGCCAAGGTTAGGAAAAAGTCTACACATTCTATTCTCAATTTCTCATCATTATTTTATATTATGGGTGAAAATATTTGGATTATTCTATGTTACTGCTTAACTGAAGACATTGTTTATGTTGTTGTGTATATGCAGACCCCTTGGAGATCCAACATACCTGTCTTGGAACAGAAACCATGAATCTAGGAGGTGATGATATAGGATATTTAATCTTAAGAAAAGGTCTTCCATGAGGCTTGTGTAGTTTATGATTCAACTCTAATCTAGATGTATGATATTGATAGATTAGTATGTGGCAAATTATAAATAGGCCATTTTGAGGAGAACTTGGTAATGTTTTATATATATTTTTGTTTAATTTTAGATCCACATATTTAACATATTTATCGTATAGAATTTTATATTGGCTGCACTTAGAAATGCTATATATGTAAGTCATGTTTAATTTATATGTATGAAAAATGGTTTAAAGTACCTTAAATAAGTCTCATACATCGCATGCATATGACATGATAATAGTATATGAAATTCAATGTGAATTTATTCTTAAGTTTTATTATGGCAGGATGCTCTTGGTTATATTGTTGCAAGAGTTATTCAATATAGTATAGTAAAGAAAAGTTATCATGTTTAGACCTTTATTTTTTTAGTAGATTAAATACATTTTAAGGGTATAAATAAAATATAACATAAATTTGTAATTGAGGAAAAACAAAATTTAAAGAATTAATTAAAAATATTTAACATAAATGGTTGGAAACGTAATTTTCTTAATTGATTTAAATAAAATAGTTGATAAGAAGACACGGTATTATAAAAGAAATTTTCACCCAAATAACCTATTTTAAACCCCCTAATATCCAAACTACTCTACTTTCTCTCATATTTTCCAATCTACCCAACTTTTGTATTTTTTTTTATTACAAGGGGGCGCCGTGGGGTATGGCTCCTCCCTTATAATTTATATGGGGCGCCATCCAGGATGGAGGCACCCTATAAATTATAAAGGGGGCGCCATTCCCTTTGACTCCTCCCTTAAATCCGAATTTTTAAAATAATTTTAAATGTATAATTAGTTTAATAATATTTAATAATTAAAAAATATTAAAATAATAATAATTATATAATAATAATTTTTGAATAATTTTTATATATTTTACAAATAATAAATAAATAATAATTAATAATTTCATTAATAAATTCCAAATAATAAACAAAAATCAAATTGTATTTAATAAATTTAATATTAAATAATAATTACAATAATTATTTAATCACAAATGGGTACATATGAAAGATATTGTACACTAGTTTCTACGCCGTGGTCGGTTTAAATGTCCGCCCGTACCGCATCCCCGATCACGTACGTTTCTTTGTGGTCTTTGTTGTGGAGTCGGGTTCATTGTGTCGTCTTCAAGCAATTGCATCACTTCGGCCCATGAAGACGTGTCCATATCCGTAAAGTCATCCAAATCAAAAGGGTTGTCCATGCCTTCATAATTATTTTGGGGTGGTTGGCTGGATGAGGCAATGTCAGGACGATAGCCTGTCTGATCGTAGGGTGGGATGGGTGTAAATGATTGGGTGGGTATGAGTTGATTGGGTGTTTGAAACTGGGTGTTTATTTGGTTTGTAGTATCCATGGAGTATGTGTGGTATTGTATGGATTGTGAATGAGTTTGTGTGAATGGAGTGAATTGGTTAGGGGTATGTTCATATTGTTGTGATTGTGTGAGTGGGGGTTGAAAATAGGGTTGGGTTGGCGGTTGAAAATGGGGTTGGGATGGTGGTTGGAAATGGGGTTGGGTTGGCGGTTGGAAATGGTATTGGGTTGATGGTTGGCAATTAGGTTGGGTTGGCGGTTGGAAATGGGATTGTGTTGGCGGTTGGAAATAGGGCTGGGTTGGTTGTTGGGGCCTTGATGATGAATCTTGTTGGCGTGGGTCAACAAGATACCTTGGATGTGAAATGAAACCAATTGATACAGACCTATACCAAGTCATGTATTGTATTGATTGTTTCATCTCGTATGGAAACACAGTGTCGGACAAAACATAGTTGTTGCGATGCCTCCATTCACGACACTCATGTTTTGCATACTTGGTCCACAGATTATATTCCCATTGGTCGGAGACTTTACCGGTGTGATATTTGTCGGGGATGCACTTTGGCGGACATGGAATATCTTGAAGCATTCCAAATTGAAGTTTCACACGATCACTGTTGTGCATCTCCACGGTGGTGAAGTTGATAATCGACACCTTTACACTCCACACCGCAGAGTCTTATCGTTCAACTTCATGAAAGGCTTCTAGACCAAGATACGGCCGCTAAATGAACTGTAGGAGGAAACAAATAATATTAAGTATTTTCTAATAATATTCAAGTAGAGTATAACATAAATAGTTAGGTTTGTGAGTGTACATCATCTTGACCCAAGTGATCAATAAGATTTTTGTACTGCGTGATACTGTAATGTGGACAGTTGTCATAATTCATTCCAAGCGAAGACCACCTACAAATCGAAAAGAAAACATTTATTAATAATATGATTAATTAATTGAAATACTATGATAGATAAGTGAAATTGGGAAAAATAATTACCTTTTAGCGAATGAGAATTCAAAATTATTTTGTTGGATAAGTGCTAGATTGGTCATTCTTGACCAACCCCATGCTTGAAGAAGAACACCACATCCGGTCTAGTTTCCCGAATTTGCTATTGAGTTGTTACATAAAGACCGATATAGGTGCGCTAGTGTTGCGAACCCCCAACTATATGTTTTTATTTTATTTACATCTTCTAATAAAGGTAAGTACATAGAGTGAACAACGTTTCAACTTGTATCCAGACATAAAAATAACCCTATTAATAACATAATATAAATTCTTGTTTTTCTAATTTTTAATATTTCAGGAGAATCTCGAGTTAATCTCAAGTCTCTATAAATTGTTTTGGGCCATGACATTAAAATTTTTTGGCCCCTCATATCTCGTGGGGTTGGTTCAACCCCTAAGAGTTCTCCTATGACACTACTGCTAGGATTGGTTATACCGTTTACCGCCTTACCATCTATGGGTAAACCCAATAACATGTATGTGTCCTCGAGTGTAACTGCACATTCACCTATTGGAAGATGAAATGTGTGCGTCTCGGGACGCCACCTTTCTTACAGAGTCAAGATAAACTTGGTATCAAGGAGATAATTTGTAATGTTAATGACTTCTCCAAATCCCGCGCGCTCCAAAAAAGGTTGAATTAACGGGTCATGTGGGAAATATTTATGCCCACGAGTACGAAAGTCATGAGTATTCTACAAAAAATAATATATTTTCGATTGCACAGGAACATTGTTGATGGCGGTTGCACAAGACGAAAATAATAATATATTTCCGATTGCCTTTGCCCTGGTCGAGGGTGAGACAGGCGAAGCTTGGAGTTTCTTCCTCAAAAATCTCAAAACACATGTCGCACCTCAACCCAACTTATGTCTGATTTCTGACAGACATGCTTCTATTATGAGCGCCTACAACAATCCTGCTAATGGTTGGCACAATCCTCCTTTTGTCCATGTCTTTTGCATAAGACACATTGCTCAGAATTTTATGCAGGAAATTAAAGACAAAAATCTCCGTAAAAAAGTTGTGAACGCTGGGTATGCCTTCAACCAACCATTGTTCATGTATTACCGAGAAGAAATAAGGTTGTCAAGTGCAGAAGCATTGAGGTGGGTGGATAACATTCCAGTCGAGAAATGGACAAGGTCATTTGATGGAGGGTGCAGATGGGGTCACATGACCACAAATCTTGTAGAATCCCTAAACGGCGTATTTAAGGGAACTAGGAACTTCCCCATCACTGCGTTGGTAAGGGAAACGTATTACAGATTGGGGTCACTTTTTGCGGCAAGAGGCAAAAAATGGAGCGTTGTACTGCAATCAGGGCAAATATTCAGCGAATCAAGCATGAAGTATATGAGGGATGAAACTTCTAAGGCGGCCTCACATCGAGTTAGACCATTTGATCGTCACGATTACAGCTTCATTGTTGATGAGACAATGGATCACAACGAGGGTCGGCCAATAGGACACTACAGGGTGGAACTTCATAAAAATTGGTGCGACTGCGGAAAGTTTCAAACCTTCCGCATGCCTTGTTCACATGTCATTGTCGCATGTTCAACTGCTCGTCAGGATCCATTCTTGCAGCTATCAGAAGTTTACAAGGTCGTGAACTTATTCAGTATCTACAGTAACAGTTTTCCAGTGGTAGCTAGTGAGGACTATTGGCCAACCTATCATGGAGACACAATCTACCATAACGAAAATATGAGAAGAAACAAAAAGGGCAGCCCCAAAAGCACGCGAATTACAACTGAAATGGATACAACTGAGAAAATGGAAAGATTGTGCGGAATATGTCGTCTTCCCGGGCATACGAGGAAAAACTGTCCAAATGTTGGAACAAGTTCTAGGTAGATTTAATTTGGTCATTAAAAATTGTGTAACAGTGGAATTTAATATTTATATCAACTTTTCTAAGTCGGAGGCTTCGTCCTCGAAAAAATTACATTCCCATATCTTCTAAGGTACATGACTCACTCTTCTAAATTTGGATGAAACAATGTTAACAACAAGTCCAACTATTTATTAAAAAAAATTTGGAATAAAATAATATTATATTTTAATTATTTTAATTATAGTGTATTTAAAAAATAAATTTCGTTAAAGGGAGCTTCATAGGGGATGGCGCCCCCCTTTAAGTCATTTAAGGGAGGAGCCAAAGGGTATGACGCCCCCTTTATAATTTATAGGGTGCCTCCATCCTGGATGGCGCCCCCCTACAAATTATAAGGGAGGAGCCATACCCCACGACGCCCCCTTGTATATATAAAAAAAAAATTCAGAAACATGGGTAGATTGGGAAATATGAGGGAAAGTGGGATAATTTGGATATTAGGGGGGGGGGTGTGTTAAAATAGGTTATTTGGGTGAAAATTTCATTATAAAAGGTTTCCTCAAATTTATATTTAGCTAGGGCTACTTGGTTTTGTAAAATATTCATTCCATTTCATAGGTGAGTCCATACTTTTGAAAATCCAAAAATGATTTTATTGATCTATCAAGATGTATTATTTCATAGGTGAGTCCATACTTTTGAAAATTCAAAAATGATTTTATTGATCTATCAAGATGTATTATTTCATAGGTGAGTCCATACTTTTGAAAATTCATTATAAAAGGTTTCCTCAAATTTATATTTAGCTAGGGCTACTTGGTTTTGTAAAATATTCATTCCATTTCATAGGTGAGTCCATACTTTTGAAAATCCAAAAATGATTTTATTGATCTATCAAGATGTATTATTTCATAGGTGAGTCCATAATTTTGAAAATTCAAAAATGATTTTATTGATAATCAAGATGTATTTTTGAACTCACCTAAAATTACATTAGTTCTTATATTTCAATTTGTCATCCTATTTTTGTCAAAAAAAATCGGAAATGTATTTATGTCTATTTTTAAGGGTGAATTCGGAGATGCATTTCTGTAAAATCTCTTGTACTCATTTATGATATTTTTATTCATTGAGTTGGTTTATTTAACAATTTAGTAATAGTTCCGAAGATACATTTTTTATTTCTTATGATCAAACTCTACTTCATTGTCAAAACCTTTAAAAAAAATTCTTCCATTCTCAATCAACTTTTCATCAGCGAAACATAATTCTTGTATTTTATTACATCAAAGGGAGCAAAAGAGGCTAGAATTTAAGGTAAAGTTCATTCATTTCATCCTTCATTCCTTGCATTAATCTGATTTTGAGCTGAAAAAAAGAACGTTGAATTTGGATATGCATCTCTGGACTAGGTTTCATGTGTTCCGAGGATGCATCTCCAAATTTTCCTGATACTTTGAGTTTTTAATCTATTTTTCTATTATGATTGATCTTAGATATGGTGCAGACGGATACTTGTGACCTTGTCATGTGTAGATTAGGCTGAGACCCTTATTAGTTAATCTGTCATATTCTCACCCCTAGTCCTCATATAATACATGCATCTTTTTCTCTACTCATTCTAACTTAAATAGCATGATTTTGTTGATTCAAACGGATAGTTTTTAATGAATAGATCAAATCTATAAATAAATTTTGAAAGTATTATATGAAGTTAAACATCAATATATCATATACCATTAAAAATACAAGAAAAATATTGACTATAAGATCTTGTTACATACACGCATCCAAATTTTATACATAATCATTAAGATAATATATAATTAAATTTAACGATTGAATTTATAGAATTTAATTTCTACATATAATTATTAAGTATAGTAACTCAAACAAATCTTATTCTTGAAATGAGTTTATCATCGTTCATATTATATATAGTCAGATTGCAAATCCAAAGTCCTAAAGATTCGCAGCCGTTTATCGTGTTGGATTTAGTCAAAGTGCAAATATCTTTGAACAAGAATGAAATATCCTTGTGCATTTTATCTTATTTTGTTTACATTACGTTATTTCCTATAGTCTCCAAACTATGATGGTTTAATACTTATATTATTATTCAAGCCGGACTATAGCCGTCCATGACAGCAAAAATATAACAATGGCAACATTAGTTCTCTCTGCATAAGTCTTATATATATGTTCCTTTTCATTGTCAATCATATCTCACCAAAACAAAGAAAGAGTAACCTTATTATCTACATTCATATATAGTGAATTGATCAAGTAATATGGCTCTTTCACGTGCTCTTTTCCTCTTTGCTCTTATTGCTACTATCTTTTCAACCATAGCTGTGGCAAAAGATTTCGTAGTTGGAGATGAAAGTGGTTGGACACTTGGGGTTGATTATCAAGCTTGGGCCGCAAACAAGGTCTTTCGTCTCGGAGACACACTCAGTAAGTTCATTTCATCCTTCTTTTCCTCTCGCTAATTTCTTCCACCTATTTCCGCTTATATTTTGGTAAAATGTTGAATTTAACTTGCATTGCAGCATTCAAGTATGTTGCTGGTAAGGACAGCGTGGTGAGAGTAAATGGAAGTGATTTTCAGAGTTGCTCAGTTCCTTGGGCAGCACCAGTGTTGGGTAGTGGACATGATACAGTTGTATTGACAACATATGGAAGAAGATGGTACATTTCAGGTTTCGCCAACCACTGCAAAAATGGACAAAAGCTTGTCATAACTGTCGTCCCATCACAACAATTACCTTGGTCTCCAGTTCCTTCACCTTCAGCCTCACCTGTGCCTGCCCCTGAAGCTGCACCGCCTTCGAATGCACCATGGACCGCCACTGTTCCCCGCCGATCCATGCTGCCAAAGAAGCTATTCAAAATGATTCACACAAATCTGATAGCTGTTTGAGTTTAGATGTTAATTGATCGTGTGTCATGTTTCAACTTTCAAAGAGGGGTTAATTTTTCCTAGTTACTAATAACTGACCCCTTTTATTATTTTTAATTATTTATTTTGTTTGTGTTAGTGAATGTATTAACATACATTTATTTATTTAAATAAAAAGAATTACATGTTTGCTAGTGATGATTCTAATATTGAAGAAAATTGTCTACAGTTTACTATAATTTATGAAGTTTGAGAAGAAGACACAAACACAATCCAAAACATAAATTCTAACAGCATTTAGGAAGTTTGAGAAGAATTACTTGTGATACTTGCACTAGGAAAAGCTATGAATATGCCTAAAAAATGTATGGAATGTGCATTAAATATCAATAATATACAACATACTTAATTTCTCTTGTGCGTGTAAAAATAATATAGACCAATTTGCTGTGTCAAAAAGTGTTCATGTGTGCCTCTCCTACTAATTCAAGAGGTAGAGAATGCTAACCACTAGAAACACGCAAAGGGGGTCGGTTTTCTATCGTAGATAAATCTCATCATCATCAAATTCTTTCTTTAATTGATGAATTTTAAACTAAATTAAATCAATAATCAATATATATAAATTATAACATATTATTATTTTATAAAATAATTAAAAACAATATCGTCATACTTTATAGGATTTGTGAAGTTGTTGTCGGAAAAAGAGTATGAGAGAATTAATACTTTCATTCTCGTCTAAATTTTACATAATATTTTAATCGTCAAATAAAATAACGCTTAAATAACTAAACGACAGAGAGCATTGACATTTCATTAAACTTAACTGAACAGTTATTCATGACGGTTTATTCAAACATAAAACCTAATCAAATAATTCATTTATAATTAATTTTTAATAACGATTGCCAAAATATAATTTAGACAAAATATTATTTTTGGTTCCTTAACTATACTTTTGGGGTCAGATGGTTCCCTTAATTTTTTTCGTATCAGATTGGTCACTTAAGTTTTCAAAATGTATCATGTTAATCATTTTCGTCTACTTAGCGATGGAAAAATTCAACAATCAACTGTTAAATGTGTCGTTAATTAGACAAAAAGGACTAACATGACACATTTATGTTGGAATTCAACCACAACCTATGGAGAATTTCTATTCAATCTTGATCTCAAGATTGTTATGTAATGACAATGAACAAAAACAAGAACATGTTTAAAGAATATGAGTTTGAACTACAGAGTAACTCTCTGCCCACAACTGTGGAATTTTATCATCACTTTACAACTACAAAACCGTGATTATCAAACTTGATGATTACAATGATAAGGGTTCGTTCTTATTTATAGATTTAGGTTAACTTGCATCTCAAGCTAAAGCCCAAACTATAAAAGTCCAAAAATATCTAATCTAATCTTTCTAAATTAAATCTGATCTTTCTAAAACAATGAATTACATATTTAACACACCACCTAATTCATTGTGTCTAAACTATCTACATTCATCATAAACCTTAACTTCTTGAACACTTCGACTGACATTCCCTTTGTCATGATGTCTGCAATCTGATTCTCAGTTCTGCAATGTTTCAAGTACATCTTCCTTTCTACTACCTGTTTTCAAAGATAATGGAACCTCATTTCGATGTGTTTGCTTCGACCGTGTGCTATTGGATTCTTCGTCAAGTTGATAGCTGACATGTTGTCGACTTTCTTATTCCATACTCTTGGAGCTTGCTTAAATCCATACAGGGCTTTATGCAACTTGTACACCTTCCTTTCTTCGCCTCGTTTCACATACCCAGCTGGTTGTACGACATAAACTTCTTTGTCTAAGGGACCATTAAGAAATTTACCCTTCACGTCCATCTGACATGTGTGTCAATTGTTCATATTTGCTAAACCAACAATCAACCTGATTGTTTCGATCCTAGCAACAGGTGCAAACACTTCATCAAAGTCTATTCCTTCTTTATGAAGAAATATTTTTGCTACAAGTCTCGCATTGTGTTGAGTTACCTCTCCTTTAGGATTCAGTTTCACCTTGTAAACTCATTTCACATCAATTTACTTCTTGCCTTGAGGCAATTCAACAAGTGATCAAGTGTTGTTGACTTCGATGGACTCTAACTCCTCATTTATAGCTTTCACCCACTTTGAATCTTTCAATGCCTCAGCTGCATTGGCTGGTTCGACATCTGCGTAGAAAGCATAATGTACCATCTCACCCTCTTCATCGACCACATCATCTGATGTAGTCACACATTCTTGCAACCTTGCAGGAATGTGTCTTGTCTGTCAAGGTCTGCTTAGGTCTGCTTCATCTCTAACTTCTTCTTGTCAAACTTCTCTTTCAACTTCAGTGATTGGTTCTTCACAAGAGACTCTCACTGAATCCTTCTTGACATTCACATTCCAATCTCATTCTTTAATCTCATCTATGATCATGTCCCTGTTGATCTCTACCTACTTATTCAATGGGTCGAACAACTTGTAACCTCCAGTCGAATGATATCCTATCAAAATCATCTTATTCAACTTGTCTAAAAAAAACTTTCTAGTTCAGCTTTCCAGTACTCAACCTTTTCACCAACAATGGTGGAAGATAGAACTAAGAACATTTGAGGCTAGAACAGCAGGTGGTGGATTGGAAACTATCAAGGTGTTTCTCAAAGCTCGTCTAGAACTTTATCTGAAACGGTTAGGTGTTTGAAAAACATCAAAACCAGAACTAGAGCTCTAATACCAATTGAAGGGTGAAAACACAAGAATGAGGGGTTTGAATTGGGTTTCACCAGCTATGATATTTTCTTCAGAATTTAAATGTCAATACTAACAAGAGAATAAATTAAATAGTCACAATTATTTTTATCCAGATTCACTGTTAACAAGGTGATTTCGCCTTAGACAAGGACTTAATCCAATAATCTCAATAGATTACAACCTCTAAGTGTTAGAAAATAATATAGCCCTCTCAAGTATCCAAACTAACGACTTAGTCACTTGAGGAATATACACTTTGAAAAGTGTTATAAGGTGTGTACATAAAATTGCTTCTAAACAAGTAGATGACACAATTGAAGTGCAATAAAACTAAAGTGTTTTCTAGCAAGATATGAACAACAACTCCTTGCTATTTTACAAAACTATCTTAAGAATAATCTCCTAGAGATTTGCTTCGTATCAGCATGAGTTTTGTGAGCTTAAAAGCATCTTTTAATGCTTCTCTCATTTTTCTTGTAGAGTTACGCTCTAATTTGGTTGAGCTTCAAACATCTTCTTTTGAGCTTTACAAATTGGTGCTTGCTTCTGCCTTGCACACATACTCTCGTATTTTCTTCATCTTTTTTCTTCTTGTTATTATTCTCTCTTTATCATCTCTTTAACTCTTCTGGCTTTTCGGCACTAAGCACTTCGGCACAATATTTTGCTCACAACATTTTTGTGCTCTCTTTTCCACTTTGTTAAGTATTCAGATCTTCAATATATTGAGTCTTGAGAATATATTCGTTGGAGGGTATAAATGGAAACAAATTCCAACTATAACTTCCCAACGTTCACCGAAAGAATGGTTACATCATAATACAAAAAGTTGTCCTTGCACCACCTAATCTAGGTAGAGGTCATATACTATTTTGTACTTTTATATTCAGCGTTTTATCCAACCATTCTTGATCTTCTGTTTTCTAATCTTCAGAGGCTTTAGGTGTGTATTTGGTGAAACATGTTGTAGAGAGATCAAACTTGTAACTTTAGAACCTAAGTCTTCAGAATCTCATATCTTCGTTCAACAGAACTATCTTAAGAGTCTTTAGCACTTGATCTTTAGAAGTGATGTCTTCTGAATCTTCAGAACTCGTTCAACAGAACCTCGTCTTCATAATCTTCAGAACTTGCTCACCATATTCTTGTCTTTAGAGTCTTCAAAACTTTGGAGCAATAGAAATAATGCCTTTATAATCTTCATAACATCGTTCAACAAAATATTGTCTTCAGAAACTTTAGAACTTTGGAGCAATATAAATAATGTCTTTAGAATCTTCAGAACCTCGTTCAACAGAACCTTGTGTTCAGAAACTTCAGAACTTGTAGCGATAGAAGCACATTTTTTTAGAGAGCTTTCAAGGCTTAATAACAAAGCCTCAATCAAAAGCTTTAGTACAAACATTCTTCATAACCGTTTCATTAAAAGCATTCCCGAGTTTTGACTTTATCTTGTACGCAATATATGTTTTCTTCCAAAGTGTTTAGATTAGAGTCTGATAACGTCACACGTCTTTCTATCATATTCAAATCTAGTTTAGCAACAGCTACACAGTAGATAGAAACTATAGAGTACCGAATTATTCTCTAAGATAACATGTGACATTATCATCAAAACTTTATGCCAGATGCAGTGCCACTCTTGTTCTTACAGAAGAAACAATTGAAGTTCAACTAAATATTAATTTTTGTTATGTTGGTTTGCTTTAGTTGGTTCTACATTGATTAAATAAGTTTAAGGTGACTAGATTTTAGGTTATGTATCTAAGTTGTTTACTTTATGATGTAACAAGTTATCCTTGGAGATTGTAATATGTTTCATGAATGAATGAATGAAGTTGCATAATTGTGATGGCATAATTGTAAACATTGATTCATGTTTTTAACAAGTTACCGCATAATCATTGTAAACATAATTGTTGTAAACATTGTCTGCATAGTTGTAAACATTGGTTCAAGTTTTTAACAAGTTACTGCATAATTGTTAAAAACATTGTCTGCATTTGGACATCACAAGGCATGTAAACATTGTTTGCATAATTTTGACAACACGTGTTACATCATAGGGTCTATAATGAACACTTGTGCATAATGCTAACATATAACATTGGACAACATCCAGTTTTAACATAATCACTTGACATTATAACTTGACATTATCCAAACCAAAATACTTAACATTAACTTTGTTTGAATATTAAGATCCATACATTATAGCCAAAATAAAACTCAAGTCACTACTTGAATCAAAATAA